TGTGTGTGTGTGTGTGTGTGTGTGTGTGTGTGTGATAACTGAGCGAGAAAATCGGAGAAGTCCAGAAGATAGGATTGGAGGGTCGGGGGACTTTTAGCCATCCTCCTGGCCCCCTATGACCCTTATGGGTTTAGCCCTTCTCCTTGAATATAATAATAATAAAAGTAATAATGTAATAATTGTATTACTAATAATAATAATAATAATTTAATAATAATAATGGCAATACTGTAATAATAATTTAAGTGCGGGTTATTCGTGATTTATTCCAGCCATATAATTCGTGACCTTTTAATCTTCATCACTGTATATTTTGAGCCACGAAACTGTTAAGATTCGACCACTGACCGTTCCGTGGGTTGTTTACTAGTAACATCAGTCGTCCAGAACAGCTGAGAGCTGCATCAAGTCACAAACAGATCTACCCAGGTAGAACTGTCTGTGACTTGATGAAGTTCTCGGATATTTTATACTTTTTATCTCCATCCTGTGCGCCGGTTATTTGTGTAATAAACCATACCCCCGGCCGGGATTGAACCCGCGGTCATAGAGTCTCAAAACTCCAGCCCGTCGCGTTAGCCATCGTGTCATTACGATTTCTTGAGTCATGTTGACGGCAGTGAAGGGACTTGAGCTAGAGTTCGTCACGGCCACGCTAGCTGGAGATTCGTCTGTAAAAACTTGCATTTGTGGTCACAGAGGTGCCTGTGCTAACTTTCCTATGGTGTAGAAATATACCTAGTTGGATGAATCTTATTGTGGCTAGCTGGTCTAGTGGCTAACGCGACGGGCTGGAGTTTTGAGACTCTATGACCGCGGGTTCAATCCCGGCCGGGGGTATGGTTTATTTGCAATCGTGTCATTACGATTTCTTGAGTCATGTTGACGGCAGTGAAGGGACTTGAGCTAGAGTTCGTCACGGCCACGCTAGCTGGAGATTCGTCTGTAAAAACTTGCATTTGTGGTCACAGAGGTGCCTGTGGTAACTTTCCTATGGTGTAGAAATATACCTAGTTGGATGAATCTTATTGTGGCTAGCTGGTCTAGTGGCTAACGCGACGGGCTGGAGTTTTGAGACTCTATGACCGCGGGTTCAATCCCGGCCGGGGGTATGGTTTATTTGCAATCGTGTCATTACGATTTCTTGAGTCATGTTGACGGCAGTGAAGGGACTTGAGCTAGAGTTCGTCACGGCCACGCTAGCTGGAGATTCGTCTGTAAAAACTTGCATTTGTGGTCACAGAGGTGCCTGTGGTAACTTTCCTATGGTGTAGAAATATACCTAGTTGGATGAATCTTATTGTGGCTAGCTGGTCTAGTGGCTAACGCGACGGGCTGGAGTTTTGAGACTCTATGACCGCGGGTTCAATCCCGGCAGGGGGTATGGTTTATTTGCAATCGTGTCATTACGATTTCTTGAGTCATTTGTGTAATGTTTACAATAGTGTTTTTATAATTTGGCGAGTTATTTATTTCGCGTTATTACACATACGCCTGTGATGTTTTTTATGAGTAACCATTTTAATTTGAAACATTTTCGTTAATATTAAGATAAATTAGATACATGTTATTGTGGCAATGTTCCCACAATAAAGATACCCAAGTGTTGTACATGTATTTAATTCATCAGAAATATTGATTTACACTTCTGTTAATAAGTGTCTTTTTTTAACAATTTTAATGCATATTGATGAGATAAACCACTGAACGGATGAGGCTTGAATCCGTGGCGAATGAGTCGTATAATTCTGGAGATTTCCGACGCACTCACCTTGGGTTCAAACCTCACCAGTTCAGTGGTTTGTTTACAATCGTGTTATGACGATTTCGTGAGACAGTTCGTGGAGGTCTCTGGCGGACACACAGCAGGCACCACTCTGGGTGGCCTTAGGCCAGCAGGAGAGTACTTCTTCAGTATCATGGCCAGGAACGACCAGGGCAACTCTGACTACCTCTCGCCTCCTCTACTAGTTACCCTCCTAGGTCAGTCTACCCTCCCACCTTCATACTATTAATAATAACATCAACAATTAATAATAAATATTTTTATTATAAATTATTATACATAAATATGCAATAATTTAAAAGCCCTTATTAATGCAGTGAATGACGAGAAAACAACTTTAGTAAGTTTATTCAGGTGTAGATGCACATAAATAGTTACATAAGTTATCATACATACTAACATATGCAGTAAAATCACAGTAAACAAGTGATATCACAATATGCAGAATAACCAATGTGAAAAAATAATGAAATTCCAAGCGCTTTCTTGATTTATCACATTATCAAGGTCCTTGATAATGTGAGAAGTCACGAAATCGATTGGAATTTCACTATTTTTTCACAGTGATTATTTTGCATAGTAACATATGTAAATTGCCCAGGATAACCCCAAAAGAAGTCAAGGTGACTTATTTCTTATTTCCCTTGGGGTCCTTGAAGGACCAAGAGTGTGGCGCTGTTTAATTTTTTTTTTTTTTTATCTTTGTCTACTTGGGGATAGGTGTGTCAGGCAGCAACAGTAGCAGTAGCAGGTGGCGTGTTCCTCGTCTCATTCTGTTGATCATGACGCTGACGGGAGCTGCTCTCCTGGTCCTCAACATTGCCATCATTGCTTGCTTCGTCCGACGACGCTCCATCGCCAGACGATCCTCAGGTGAGAATCTGGTCAAGTCTTGGCCATTCAAGAACTCTGATAAAAGTTCACACATAAAGAAATGGAACAGATTATAAGATTGAGAAGTTGTTTTTGTTTATGAGGCTGTGGTGTACGTGTGGGCACGCTCCCACACGCTGTGGTGTACGTGTGGGCACGCTCCCACACGCTGTGGTGTACGTGTGGGCACGCTCCCACACGCTGTGGTGTACGTGTGGGCACGCTCCCACACGCTGTGGTGTACGTGTGGGCACGCTCCCACACGCTGTGGTGTACGTGTGGGCACGCTCCCACACGCTGTGGTGTACGTGTGGGCACGCTCCCACACGCTGTGGTGTACGTGTGGGCACGCTCCCACACGCTGTGGTGTACGTGTGGGCACGCTCCCACACGCTGTGGTGTACGTGTGGGCACGCTCCCACACGCTGTGGTGTACGTGTGGGCACGCTCCCACACGCTGTGGTGTACGTGTGGGCACGCTCCCACACGCTGTGGTGTACGTGTGGGCACGCTCCCACACGCTGTGGTGTACGTGTGGGCACGCTCCCACACGCTGTGGTGTACGTGTGGGCACGCTCCCACACGCTGTGGTGTACGTCTGGGCACGCTCCCACACGCTGTGGTGTACGTGTGGGCACGCTCCCACACGCTGTGGTGTACGTGTGGGCACGCTCCCACACGCTGTGGTGTACGTGTGGGCACGCTCCCACACGCTGTGGTGTACGTGTGGGCACGCTCCCACACGCTGTGGTGTACGTGTGGGCACGCTCCCACACGCTGTGGTGTACGTGTGGGCACGCTCCCACACGCTGTGGTGTACGTGTGGGCACGCTCCCACACGCTGTGGTGTACGTGTGGGCACGCTCCCACACGCTGTGGTGTACGTGTGGGCACGCTCCCACACGCTGTGGTGTACGTGTGGGCACGCTCCCACACGCTGTGGTGTACGTCTGGGCACGCTCCCACACGCTGTGGTGTACGTGTGGGCACGCTCCCACACGCTGTGGTGTACGTGTGGGCACGCTCCCACACGCTGTGGTGTACGTGTGGGCACGCTCCCACACGCTGTGGTGTACGTCTGGGCACGCTCCCACACGCTGTGGTGTACGTCTGGGCACGCTCCCACACGCTGTGGTGTACGTGTGGGCACGCTCCCACACGCTGTGTGTGTACGTGTGGGCACGCTCCCACACGCTGTGGTGTACGTGTGGGCTCGCTCCCACACGCTGTGGTGTACGTGTGGGCACGCTCCCACACGCTGTGGTGTACGTGTGGGCACGCTCCCACACGCTGTGGTGTACGTGTGGGCACGCTCCCACACGCTGTGGTGTACGTGTGGGCACGCTCCCACACGCTGTGGTGTACGTGTGGGCACGCTCCCACACGCTGTGGGGTACGTGTGGGCACGCTCCCACACGCTGTGGTGTACGTGTGGGCACGCTCCCACACGCTGTGGTGTACGTGTGGGCACGCTCCCACACGCTGTGGTGTACGTGTGGGCACGCTCCCACACGCTGTGGTGTACGTGTGGGCACGCTCCCACACGCTGTGGGGTACGTGTGGCCACGCTCCCACACGCTGTGGGGTACGTGTGGGCACGCTCCCACACGCTTTGAATATCTTCACTAAATGTTCACACACTTTGGTAAAGAAATGGAAAACTGAGGAGACTGAGAGGATCTTTTGATGAGGCTGTGATAAATACCTGGGAGGGTGTTCCAGGGGTCAACGCCTCTGCGGCCCGGTCCATGACCAGGCTTCGCTGTGGATCAGAGCCTGATCAACCAGGTTGTTACTGCTGGCCGCACGTAAACCGATGTACGAGCCACAGCCCGGCTGGTCAGGTACTGACCAGCTCCCTCATTAGACAGCCAGGGGTCTATTGGTAATCCCCTGATGTATGTTGGGAGGCAGTTGAACAGTTTTGGGCCCCTGACACTTATTGTGTTGTCTCTTAGCGTACTCATGGCGCCCCTGCTTTTCATTGGGGTATTTTACACCGCCTGCCGAGGCTTCTGCTTTCGTAAGGAGTGATTTTCGTGTTCAGATTTTGGGACTAGTCTAAGATTTTTCAGTGTATATTATCATGTATCTTTCTCGCCTGCGTTCCAAGGAGTACAGGTCAGGGGACTTTATCCATTCTCAGTAATTTAGGTGGTTTATTGTACGTATACGTGCCGTGAAAGTTCTGTGTATATTCTAAAGGTCTGCAATTTTGCCTGCTTTGGAAGGGGCAGTCAGTGTACAGCAGTATTCCAGCCTAGAGAGAACAAGCGATTTGAAGAGGATCATCATTGCCTTGGCATCTCTAGTTTAGAAGGTTCTCATTATTCATCCTATCATTTTCCTAATAGATGTGTCCCATAGCCGAGCTATAGCGCACTGAACTCACACATTGAGGTCCGTGGTTCGATCCCCGGTACGGGTGAAAATATTGGGCGTATTTCCTTAAGACACCTGCTATCCCTGTTCAGCTAGCAGCAAAATAGGTACTTAAGTGTTCGTCACTTTACACCTGCTATTCCTATTCACTTAGCAGTAAGGAGGCACCTGGGTGTTAGTCGACTGGTGTGGGTCGCATTCTGGGGACAAAATTAACTTAAGTTGCTGGAAATGCTCTGCATAACCAGGGGCTTTATAGTATGTCATTGGTGTCAGCTATGGTCTGTATAATTTGTATCATGCACTTGTAGAAATAAAGATTATTATAATTATTATTATTATTATTATTACTGTGTGCAGGTGGGATGTCCCGCAAGGCAGGCGCCTCAGACACCCTGTGTAGCACCGTGGGCTCCGCCACACCTGGTCTCCATCATGATATCCTGTTCTCCCTCGCCACCGCCAACACTGCCAACTCCAGCACTCTCTCCAACACCCTCACAACCTACAAGGTAAGTTGACCATCACTCCTGATGTCTCTTTTATTCCTCTCTTCCAAGGTGATCCAAGGAAGAGGAGCGTAGCTCCAGTTCCTTGAATCAAGAGTCATTGAAAGAGGACGTCTCAAATTAAAAATTATTTTCTTTCGTAAATACTGTGTAGCCTCTTTATCAGTATTTTATATATTTGTTTTACTACATAAACTTTTTTGTCGTCACTCTTCATGACGGCCATAAAAACTTTACATTTTGTTCATGTTTACTCAGTCGCAATATTGACTTTTATATTGTGTTTACCTGAGGTGAAGATTGATATATAGACAAAAATATTCCGAGGCGAGAAAGAGATGGAGAGAGATTAATGTCATTAGGTACAAGATACCTGTTTCCTAACACTTGAATGAGAAAAGGGGAGAGAGAAAGAGAGAAGGATATAAAGGGTAAAATAATTATTTTTTTAATGTCCTAATGTTTAAAGAAGTAAAAGAATTAATCGATGTTAATGGAATTTCAATCATGCTACAACACAGATCCTCAAATCAAACATTTTGATGTGAGTGCATGTACGCGGCTAGGATGATTGAAGACACTAATAATAATAACTTCTTGTGGGTACAGCAGGAGGCACAGACGCTGGTGGACGAGTGTGAGAGGCGAGGCTCAGGGGTGTCAAGCACAGACAGGGGTCGTCCCAGTCTCGCCCTCCTTCAGAACGGAGCACTCGTCAGGAAGAACAGCCCCTCACCCCAGAACGGCGGCGGAACGGTGAAAACCGCCACGTCGAACGTACAACCAAGTGGCGGCAGTGGATGTGGAAGGCAGAACGGCGGAGTACCGACACAGCAGACGAGAATTAGTGCCCCATCTCCTGCCACCACTCCCTTAAACGGTCACCTTCACCCTCCCACTAACCCTGAGGTGTGCTCACTAACCTCAAGTACCTACGACACCCACTCTCCCACACTCCCTCAGCAGCAGCTGCAGAGGAGAGACTCGGGATCTCAACCAGCAGATGACCAGGTATCCCTAGCTTCCTACCACAGCACCCACTCCCGCACCTTCTCCCAGGGTTACGTCCGCCCACTGCCGCCCCCTGGCTGCCCATACCACCCACCCTCACGCCCACAACCGCTTTGTCAGGGTAGCTCTTACTACCAGAGCCAACAGCAGAGTGAGAAGCAGCAACAGAGTAGACCCACGTACTCCAGCCTCAGCCCCTCCAGCTTGTACACACTCAGTACTGAGTACTACGATGCTCACTGTACTCAGTCCTCCTCTTCTGGTATGTTAATATTCATCTTCAATTGTCGTATGGTGTTGCTCTGTAATATATATTGTTGTGTATCCTTCTTTGGGTCACTCTGTCTTGACGGGAAACGGCTCTAGAGGTAAACAAAATGTAATCCATTTGGTTTACATTATTTTGGAACGAAGCTATTTTCATATTATATTAAATTTATGGTGAAGCGCTAAAACCGTGAAAGTCATACAGCGCCTTGGGACGAGGAGAGTAACTTCAATTGTAATTCTTAAGCAGATTATTATTACCGTGGCGCATCCTCTTCAAGGAAAATCATGATTTAAGAGACAATCTAGACACAAAAGCCTCTTGGAGATCCCCGTGTGCAGTTCAGCCTGTATAAAAACTCAGTGCGCATGAAAGGCCTTATGATCTGGCACTTCCTGCCTGAAGCACCAAAGCGCCCGCTCATCTGCCAGTTGATTCAGAGCTGGCTCTGAATCCAAAGAATTGGAGCTCTCCTCCCTTTTCTTAGCTCGAATATTATTGTCTCCCTCACGACTCACGAAATCGTAATAACACGGAACGGGTGGGATTTGAACCCATGGCGAGTTTTACGACTCACTCGCCATGGCTTAGAACCGTGGCTTATTATCTCATATTTCCCAAGGAGCTATATGACCCCTACTGTCTTAGGGCTTCGCCCCCTTCCCCTTAAAATGAGTGAAGAAATAAATGTTTTTGCAGGAGCGCCAATGGGGTACGCTACGCTGGGTCCTCGGAGCAGGCGGACATCCCCGTCTCAGTTCGCCACCCTACAGCGCTCCCGTCCCTCCCGAACCCCTGTCCTCAACACTCTGCAGAGCTCGGGACACCAGTGTGCCTCTCTCTCCAGGTGTCAGGGGAACGACTGCTGCCACCAGCACACCACTGACGACGATGACGACCGACACATCGTCAGCGCCTGCCCCACCCATCACATCACTGACCACCCCCGCCGCAGTAGCTTCCACGGACCCCTATGGCGGGACACCCAGAGATATGATAATGTGGGGCCCGTGTCCTTCTCTCGCCTCCACCACCAACAACAACAGCAGCAGCACCACCACCATCACCACCAGAGGCAGGATAGCGCACCGTCAGGCTATAACATGATGCAGCAACGTAGTACCGACTCTTTGCCATATGGTTTACCACAACGTCACAACAGCGTGTCAGGTGACTACAGCATGACACAGCACACAGACTGCGATTCGTCAGCCTATAGCACAGCTCAAGATAGCGTGGCACAGCACCAGGAGACCAAGACATCAGAGTACAGCTCAGCACAGCGGCATGACCCAAAACCCAGCAAAGTACTACAGACTCACTCCTTCAGCCACGCCTCCTGCGTCACCCACGGGAGCAGCTGTACCTCCCATAGTAACCTAGCCAACGCCACCACCACGCCAGAGAGCCCCCACGACCTCACCACCACCTCCAGTCCCTCCCGCCGTAGAGATGTCAACCTCCGGGGCAGCTCCTCCTTCCGAAGTAGCACCTCCAGTAAGGACTCGGCCGGGACCCTCCCCACCACCACCACTGCAGGTCGTCCCAAGGTCACCACCACCACCTCGAGTCGTCCTGGAGTGCCCACTGCAACCACTGCCAGTCGTCTGGGGACCCCCACCGCTATGAGTCGTCACCGGGTCCTTACTACCACAGCGGGTCGTCTTGCTGTCTCCACTGCAGATCGTCCCGGAGTCCCCACCACTAACGATGGTCGTCCTGGAGTCCTCGCCGTCAATGGGGGTCGTTCTGGGGTCCCCACCACCAACGAGGGTCGTTCTGGCGTACCCGCTACTAATGGGGGTCGTTCTGGGGTTCCCACTACCCACGGGGGTCGTCCTGGAGTATCTGCCACCAATGGGGGTCGTCTTGGAGCCCCAACCAGTAACGAGGATCGGCCTGGAATTCCCACTACCAATGGGGGTCGATCTGGAGTCACTGCCACCAACGGGGGTCGTCCTGAAGTCCCTGCCACCAATGGGGGTCGTCCTGGAGTCCCTGCAACCAACGGGGATCGTCCTGGTGTCCCCGCCCAGAACGTGAGTCGCCCGAAAGTCACCAATGAAGGTCATCCTGCAGTCTCCACTACCAACGAGAATCGTTCCGAAGTTCCCGCTGCCAGCGAGGGTCGTCCCGGAGTACCCACCACTAACGGGAGTCGTCCACGCTTTCCCCACGACTACGTGCGTCAGGGGTCAGCCAAGGGAAGGCCCTCCACCACCACCATCACCTCACCACGAGCCACGAAGGAGGGCACCAACTTGACCAATAACACAGACAAAAATAACAAAGTAGCATCCAGCTCCTCTTCGCCGCCATCTTAAACACCACCACCATGACTACCACCAACACCTCCTCCGTCAGGAGACATATGTAGGTTACTTAGAGGTATTACTTCAATAATGGTATAAGATGCCGATAAGTTAGTATATAAGATACATGTGCAACATGATGGTATTCTTTATTTCGGAAGATATTGAAGTCTTGCATTTGTCTTATTCATTTTACGTAAATGTGTTGTTGTAGTTGTTGACATTGTTGATGTCGGTATGGGCAAGTGTGACACGTGGGGTTCCACAAGGGTCGGCAGTGGGGTCAGTATTGTTTAGTAATAATTATCTTTATTTCTACACATACATGATACAACTCACACAGACCATAGCTGACATCAGTGACATACTATATAGAAAGTCCCCAGTTATGCAGAGCATTTCTGGTAAATTAGGTTAATTTTTGTCCCCAGGATGCGACCCACACCAGTCGGCTAACACCCAGGTACCTGTTTACTGCTAGGTGAACATGGACAGCAGGTGTCTTAAGGAAACACGCTCCCGATGTTTTCACCCGTACTGGGGATCGAACCTTGAACCTCAGCGTGTGAGTTGAGTTTGCTACCAAACGATCTACGGTTGACATGACGGAAGAAACTGAATTAGAGGTATCTCTTTTCGCAGATCACGTGAAACTAATAAAGAAAATACCATCAAGCGAGCCAGATTTAAGATACAATAAGATTTTGTTGGGATTTTTAACCCGGAGGGTCAGCGACCCAGGGTAACCCAAGAAAGTCAGTGCATCATGGAGGACTGTATCTTATTTCCAATGTAGCCCTTCACTCTTGTCCCTCCAGGATGTGACCCACACCAGTCAGCTAACACCCAGGTACCTACTTGCTAGGTGAACGGGTTATTTAGTTTAATATGTTTATTATGCACCCCATACCCATCCTGTGGGCGGTAGTCAAAAGATTACAGAGGTACATAATGGGTCCAGGGACTGTGCCTCAAAGTTTTGATAGCTGAGCAAGTTACAGAGGTAATGAATTCACAATTTACAAAGGTAATGAACTCACAATTTACAAAGGTAATGAACTCCAGGTAGGTCTAGTCACAATCATGACAAGTTACAAAGGTATTTACAGATTACAGAGGTACACAATGGGTCCAGGGACTGGGCCCCAAAGTTTTGATGGCTGAACTAGGTACAAGGTAATGAACCCACAAGTTACAAAGGTAATGAACTCACAAGTTACAAAGGTAATGAATACTGTAAGAATGGTTACTTACGTTTATACATGTTTGTAGATGAATGGTTCAGAGAACCGACATGTTGATAAATTAGACACATGTGCAACTCTTGGGTATCTTTACTGAGGAAACGTTTCGCCACACAGTGGCTTCATCAGTCCATACAAAGGAGAATCTTGAAGAATAGGAGGAGAATGAGGTACCTCATTCTCCTCCTGTTCTTCAAGATTCTCCTTTGTATGGACTGATGAAGCCACTGTGTGGCGAAACGTTTCCTCAGTAAAGATACCCAAGAGTTGCACATGTGTCTAATTTATCAACGTTTATACATGGCTACAATCATGAACAAATTTTAGAGTAATGAGCAATTCACACTTCCACACCCGGTCACAACTGTAGTGAGTTATTGGTGCAAATGTTGATTGCTGAGTCTCTCTCTCTCTCACACACACACACACACACACACACACACACACACACACACACACACACACACACACACTCACACACTCATACACATACACACAAACACACACACACACACACACACACACACACACGCATGCACATATGTGGTAATGCTTTATTTACAGCTAGCAAAGTCAGGGTATTTCTCCAGAATGGTCTGTAATATACCACTGTGGATAAAATACTTAGCCATTTCTTGAACACTTCTGAGTGGACAGTAGGTGTAAGGAAACACGCCCCATGTTTTTAAAACACGCAGCCGGGGATTGAATTACAGATACTCGATGTGTGAGGCGAAAACGTTGCCTACCAAGCCACCAAACATGATTAAGTTTATTTAGGCACAGGTACACATGTGTAAATTACCCAGGATTTTCCCCCAAGAAGTTATTTTCACTTGAAAAATAACTAAATGGTTATAACTGACCATAATTTTTAAAGGGATGGACCGGTAAGCCAGCGCGTCAGGAAACACTTGTCCTGTTTCTTGACAAATCTTGCCTAACATAACCATTTCCACCTGCGTTGTTGAGTAATGTTTGTTGTCACTGTTGGTGATTTCTTGGAATCCCACTGTATTTCTAACAGCATCAAATAATGCTATCTTTAATTTTAACGGGGTGGGCGAGTAAGCCAGGTGAAGGCTTCGGCCAGATGACCGAAACCTCCAGATAGCCTGTCATCATATGAACTTAAGAACTTCGTCAGGGAGCAGTTGTCCTGTTTCCTGCGAATCTTACCTAACCTGTCACTGTTTATCTTGCTTCTATATAAATGGTTATAATTATAATCTAATTTTTAAAGGGGTAGAAGTGTAAGCCAGTGGAAGGCCTCGGTCAGATGACCATAAGCTCCAGCTGTGGATCATCATATGACTAAAACCCGCGTCAGGAAACATTTGTCCTGTTTCCTGACGAGTCTTACCTAACTTAACCTAACCTAACCTAACTTAACCTAACCTAACCTAACTTAACCTAACCTAACCTAACTTAACCTAACCTAACCTAACTTAACCTAACCTAACCAAACCTAATATTACATAACCTAACCTAATCTAATCTTACCTTACCTAACCTAACCTAAACTAACCTAACCTAATCTTACCTAACCTAACTTAATTTTACTTCAGGTGATATTGTCTCCCGCGGTAAAATGTCCAGTACCAACAAACACATCAGCAACAACCTCTCCAACAGTCATACCTGACATTAACCCATAATTCATACCTGACCTTAACCCATAATTCCAATCACCATGTAAATCAAAATTTAATCATGTTCAAAGATAATCTTAAAAAGAAAGATTACCCACCGTCACCCACTCTTGAAGTTAGTTATTTACAAGTGACTGTAATTCCTGTGGTGGACCGAGTCTTTGAATCTCGGTTTTTTAATTGGGTATAAAGGTTGTCGACTACACGAGGGTCATTAAAACTGAATGAAATCTATTCAACTGTTAAGAATAATTCGATATTTAAAATTAGGATTTAAGTAAGCTTTCATTGTATATACACTGAGATATACACACTTCAGTGTATATACCCTGTACAGCTATTACCTAACATATATACATTTCCACGGCGATATCAGACAGAAACTTACCACGACATTTCGGCCCGATTTGTACTTTGTAAATGGTCCAAGTCGGACCAAAACATCGTCGTAACCTCTCGTATGTGCGAGTTATTTATGCATTACGAATATATATATACAAACACTGTAAAGATGAGAAAACTTAAGCCTATCTAAAAAACATATAATAATTATAATATATATATAATATATATAATATATATAATAATATATATATATATATTAAATATATATATATAATATATATATATATATATATATAAATAATTTTTTCAATTTTATTTTAGTTAACTGTTTTAAAAACTGAAGTCCAAACAATAAAATAAAAAAAACGGGGAACTGTATATGAATAAAATTTAAAACAATTCAGATTTCTATAGTTAGAAATTTCCATTGTGAAAAGTTAATTAACAATGCATATATAATAAAAACAGCGTACTCCCCCCCCAAACAATATCCAAAACAAAAAATGTATTTACTTGTTTTGTGTGTTTGTGTTTGTTTTAACACCGGGGGAAAAAATGGTTGAATTAGGGACTTGGACAGAACAGTGAACTCTTTTTAAAGTTATCTCTTTACTGACTCTCTTTATAAAGATATCTCTTTACTGACTCTCTTTAAAGTTATCTCTTTACTGACTCTCTTTATAAAGATATATATTTACTGACTCTCTTTATAAAGATATCTCTTTACTGACTTTTAAAATATCTCTTTACTGACTCTTTATAAAGATATCTTTTTACTGACTAAAGATATCTCTTTACTGACTTTTTAAAGATATCTCTTTACTGACTTTTTAAAGATATCTCTTTACTGACTTTTTAAAGATATCTCTTTACTGACTCTTTTTAAAGATATCTCTTTACTGACTTTTTAAAGATATCTCTTTACTGACTCTTTTTAAAGATATCTCTTTACTGACTAAAGATATCTCTTTACTGACTTTTTAAAGATATCTCTTTACTGACTTTATAAAGATATCTCTTTACTGACTTTTTTTAAAGATATCTCTTTACTGACTAAAGATATCTCTTTACTGACTTTTTAAAGATATCTCTTTACTGACTCTCTTTTACATTATTCTTATTAAATATTCGCCGGTATTCTCCCGGCCCGGGCCTTTTCCAAGTGGTGGCCCGGCCTTGGCTCCCTCTTTAGGGAGTGTCTGAGACCTAAGTTTCCCATGGGAGGAGGCACGAGTACCTCCTCATCTATGGGACCAACTGTCCCCAGGCCTAACCACAAGCTAGGCCTCTCTGGTCTGCCATCCCCGCCCCAAGGGGGCTAATGGGAATGACAGTCTTATGAGCTAAAGGCTCGGGCTCAGGCACCTACCCTACCCTAGAAGGGTTAGGCATGGTGTCGATCACTCTCTCAGGCACCTACCCTACCCTAGAAGGGCTGGCCATGGTGTCGATCACTCTCTCAGGCACCTACCCTGCCCTAGAAGGGCTGGCCATGGTGTCGATCACTCTCTCAGGCACCTACCCTGCCCTAGAAGGGCTGGCCATGGTGTCGATCACTCTCTCAGGCACCTACCCTGCCCTAGAAGGGCTGGCCATGGTGTCGATCACTCTTCTCAGGCACCTACCTGCCCTAGAAGGGCTGGCCATGGTGTCGATCACTCTCTCAGGCACCTACCCTGCCCTAGAAGGGCTGGGGCCATGGTGTCGATCACTCTCTCTCAGGCACCTACCCTGCCCTAGAAGGCTGGCCATGGTGTCGATCACTCTCTCAGAGGCACCTACCCTGACCTAGAAGGGCTGGCCATGGTGTCGATCACTCTGACTCGCTAGGTATGGGGCACCTCACCCTGCCCTAAAGGGCTGGCCATGGTGTCGATCACTCTCTCAGGCAGACTACCCTGCCCTAGAAGGCTGG